ATATTTATTTTATTAAACATATTTATTATTATTATTACTTATCTTTACTTGAATTAATTTAACAAAACTGGCGAACCAGCAAAATAGTCTTACTGTTTCCGGTGCAGGTCAAACAACCACAACATCAACGGAGAATAATATATTAGTAATTCTAAGAATTTCTGAGTGAAAGTAAAGAAGAATGCATAAAAATATAGCAACTATACTATATCTGCTATATCCAGTGCCGACACTTTGCTCAATCCCATGGCTCATCAGGCTGGTTGTTCGTACACACATTTCTTAAACAGAGGCGACTCAATAAAATATATTTTTCCCTTAAATTTAAAGACTTATAATCCAGTAAATAGTGTTTCTTAGTATAGATATGTAGATATATTTTTTAATTAAACTTCTAGTGTCTTTAGGTACTAACATAAAATAATAACTTTAAATCACATGGTAATATAAGTAAATACTTAAGATGAGATTGTGGTGATTGGATATCGACAGTTGTTATGGTAAGTAGTCTGTACGATAAACTAAGTATAATTATAAATTAGTTACTATTTTTTTAATTTCTAACTGCTAATTACTAACTAGTTTATATTCTACGTTTCGGTTGCTCATCTGCTGTCTCTTCAAAGAAATCGTGAGAAGAACTACATTTGTAATGGTTGTAGTTCGGATTTGGTCCTTGGTCCTCTTGATAGAAAGGCTGCGCTATCCACTAGTGCATTAGAATCCTGGAACGTATAAGACACTAATACTAATCTATCTACAATAGATTAATTTAGTTTGTTTTGAATTTCACGCTAGCCGTAACTAATTTAGCAGTTAACAATTAAAGGGAAGGTAGCTAGTCATCGCCACTTACCGCCAACTCTTGAGCCACTCTTTTACCAATGAATAGTTGGATTGACCGCACATTATAACGCCCCCACAGCTGAAAGGGTGAGTATGTTTGGTGAGATTCGATTGCAAGTCGGGCGCCTTAACTACCTGGCCATGAGTCCATTATGCTGGAGTAGAAAATCACAGAATATAAAGAAGTAATACAAAAATAATGAGATATGGACCATAAACGAGGAAAAGAAATAAAAAGAAAGCCTTCCATATCCACCTAACTGGTAACACACTCATTTTGTATAGCGTATAAGTTAGCAAAACCTGGATATCACTCTTGAAAGCATTCAAATAATGTGTGCACTTTTTGGAAAGTGTCATACTCAAAGAGGCAATATAGAAACCTGTACAATTGGCTTGGCTAATAAGATTGCGCGTAGACCATTAGATGAAGAATGTAACCTGTGGATTTGTGGTATACCTGACATTCTTTGTTTGGCCTGGGTTTATAAGCCGAGTATTTTCATTTTTGGCTCCTGACTTCTTGCTCGTGATTAGGTGTCTGATTCTCGTCTTTTCTTTTACAGCTTCGACGCCAGCAACCAATAGATAGTTATACAGAAGTAAAAACCCGTCCACTAAAATTGCATGTTTCAATGCCCATTTGTTTTCCTCTATTGTTCGTGTTTAACATATTATTCACTTTATGGTACTAAACTTTCGTTTTGCGGAAAGTTTTGGCTTTTCTGCTGGACATCAGTATACCTGAATACCACACCACACATTACTTAAAGAAAACAGTCCACGAATTTATGGATTCATTAATGGGAACTAATGAGAAGTATTCCAAGATGTTGATCAAAACTGTTTCTACACGTGTTTAACGATATGGTAATAAAAGGTGAAAAATTGCTTCCAGAAATGAAGAAAGTGAATGGATTGATGCGAAAAGCAAGTGGTCATAAAGTTCTAGGATGAGTAAACGTGGAAGTGGTCCTGATAGCAGAAAACTTCTCTACACAATATGATATCCGGGCAGTTCTCTTTAGGTAGATAGTCGAAGGAATCCACTTTTGGCTCTATCTCTCCTGATACTGTGGACGTGATCTCGACAGAAATCTAGGTCTCTTCAAAAGATTGATTTACATTTGGTAAAGTCTTCTTTGAAGCTAATTAGTTGGCGATTGTTCCGCCAACGTACCTCCAAAGACGATCGCGGTGAGTGATTTTAGGTTTGAATAAATTTCTTCCTGAATTCTGCTATTTTTGCTTATTAAATTGGTTGTCTTCGTTATCTTGTGCTTCTATATTTGTTGGTACTGGAAGTCCAATTTATGGTAGATATTTAATAAGCATATTGTAAACAGGGACTTAGTGATCAGAATATGTGAAATTGTTTGAAACGAGTCTAACGTCAAATATGTGTTTCCACATGAAGTCAGATTCCAATACGCAGTTTTATTCGATATTATTTACCCATTGACAAGATAGCAAGTGTTGATAAAGTGGAAGAGATCATCCCAACTTCGTACCTAAACCATGGAAAAGAAACCTAATAAAAATATTTGGTGATTAATTAATGAGTGTAATGTCTATATTTATGGATATCAATTTTAT